CAAATCAAAAAGCAGTTAAACTATATACGTAGACTATATAATAGGTGCGGATGAAGACGAAGAAGTAGCTAAACTCTTATATGAAGACATTAGATACATGTTTAAAGCTGCGGGTTTCAACATGCGAAAATGGAAAACAAATTGTGCGAATCTGCAGGAAGTTTTTCACGAACACAAAAATGGTGAAACACAGAAATTTCTGGAACAGAAGGTATTGGGATATAAATGAAATTACCAGAAAATCTAACTAATAAGCTCGAGGGAAAATAAAGCTAATGACAAAAAAAGATGTTCTTAAAACGATTGGAAAGCTTTAAGATCCTACTGAATTAATAAGTCCATTCACTATTAGGGCAAAAATACTAAAGCAGGAAATTCGGCAATTTGGGATAGATTGGGATGATCCATTGCAACTGGACTTTGAAAACAAAATGAAAAAATGGTCTAACATCTGTCATCAATATTGCGGTCTATCATTCCACAATATTACTTCTGAAAGACTAACAAGTTAGAATTGAAAGCTATTGATATGCATTGCTTTACTAACACAAGTCAGAAGGCATATGGAGTTGTAATATACTTGCGATATGTCACGAAGGACAGTGAAATAGGAAGTAGTTCTGTCATTTCCAAAACCAGAGTAGTTCCACTGAAGAAACTGTCTCTTCAGACTAGAGCTGAAGGGAGCACTCATTTGAGCAAGATTAGCCTCAAATGTGAAACAGCAGTTAGAGAAAAGGCTCCAGATAAATGTATATTTTTGGTCTGATTCTTCTGTGATGTTAACATTGGATAAAGGGTAATTTAAATAAATGGAAGCCATTCATCCAACATCGAGTAACGGAAATACGAGAGAAAACATACCAGAGTCCTGGAATTATTGCCCTAGAGATGAAAATCCAGCCGACATGCTGACCAGAGGAATGAAGACGACTAATTCCATGTAAGGAATAACATTAGCTGAACTATGAAATAGTGATATGTGGTGGCATGGACCTAAGCGGTTATTACAGAGCATCGATTTGTGGCATAAGCTCGCAGAATCAGTAAAAGATTTTGAAGTTAATGAAAGGCTTGAACTTCCAAAGGAAGTTGTGTGAACTCAACAGTCATAGGTTAAAGTTCCATTGAGAACGAATTTATTAAAAGGTATTCATCATTTAGCATATTGATTAGAACTACTGTGTGGTATTTAAAGTTTGTAAGCAACAGTTGAATCAACCCACCATTAAGAAAATAAAGTTTTTTGAGTGCTTCTGAATTGCATAATGCAGCAAAGGTGTTAGTCAAATGCGTACAACATTCTGAACTTCAACCTGAAATTCGGTGCCTGCTGTTGAAATGACCAGTTCCAAGTAATAGTAAGGTTTCATCTTTAAACGTATTTCTTGGTGAAGACGAACTTTTACGAGTTGGTGGGAGATTCTTTCCAATCTTTAAGAAATCCAGAAACTTAAACTCCTTTTACCAAAAAGACATCATTTCACTGAATTATTATCACAAATTTTCATTCATTTATTTTCACAAAAAATCTCATCATTAGGGTGTTCAAACACCTTCCCTTATCAGACAATTATACTGGATGTTTTCCAGACAAGGCAGAGCTAGGCGTGTTATAAATGCATGACTTGTTTTCGAACAAAAAGCCAAATGACAGGAGACTTAACCAGAGATAGAGTTGTAATAACTAAAACATTAAAAAAAAAAAAAAAAAAAAAAAAAAAAAAAAAAAAAAACATGACTAGACTTTGCAGGACCAGTTATCATCAAGCCTAACTTGAAAAGATATAGGGTTACTTTAAAATACATATTGCGATACTTACTTGCTTCAGTAAAAAGGAAAATTTAGAAATAGTACCGGATTTGTCTACTGAAGCATTTTTAGCACGTCTTAGAAAGTTTATAGCCAGACGATACAAAACCTCAATTGTTTGGCGTGACAATGCCATAAACTACAAAGAAACAAAGAATGTTCTTGATAATATTTTTATTAATCGTTAATCGGATTCTATCCAACACTTTAGTTCCAAAGAAGGTATAACATGGAAATTTATTCATCCTTCTTCCCCGCATTTGGCAGATTATAGGAGGCTAATACAAAATCAATGAAGGGAAATTTGATAAAGGTCAGGAAAACAACAATTTTAAACTTCAAAGAGTTTTATACATTAATTACACAAACAGAAGCTTGCTTGAACTCTTGACCTTACCACCCATTTCAACTGATTCAACAGATCTTCAACCTTTGACTCCAGGTCATTTCCTAATAGGAGCTCCACTTTTGTCGATACCAGAACTGAATGATTCTGTAGATTCTTTGTCCTTGCCTTCTATGTGGACCTTAATTCAAAAACTTAGCTTTCTGGAGTGCGGAATATCTTAACCATCTGCAAACCTGTTCAAAATGGAATCAAATGAAATCCAATCTCAAGGCAGAAGAACTAGTTTTGCTGAAGGATAAAAACAAGACACCCATGACGAGGACACTAGCTCACATTGAGACCTTTTATGTTATGGATTAACTAGCACGAGGCATGGACGTCAGAACACCAGATGGAATCTTTTGTCAAGCCATCTCGAATATCAGTCCACTTCCATTCCCAAATGATGTTGGACAACCGTCCACTGGGATGTTCTGGTTTGAATAGAAACACTTCTCTGCCTCGGCATGGCAACAGCCTGAACTTGATTTTCGATTTGCTTTGACACAGCTTGAATGCTGCTGATGAGATGTTTAATAGATTCTAGATTAGAATAATTCATTTGGTATTTTAAGTTCCCTTTTAAACTACATTAAATGTTGATTCAGATAGAAATACCTCTGTTACAATACTCAATTGTTAGCATCTCTGAGAACAATCATTAGCTAAAATGATCATAAGATACTAAAAACATGTTTCTCAGCCTACCCATCATATAAATTTGATATTTATGCTACATTCACATTCGATAACTTTGTTTAAATAATCAAGGATATCAGTATTCAACTTTCATAAGGCATGATTAAAAAGATCTTCTGTGGACTTAAAAAAAGAGTCATTTGATAATGTTATTATGTTCTCAAAATCATTACTGATAATTTTCATAAATGGTCATATTGGAAAGGAGGTTGCTCAGAGAGGCTTCACTGTAAATCAGTTTTGATAAGATAAAAATCACAATATTTTCAATGGTAGAAGTAATTTTAATTCACTTGTTTTGCAGCAAAAATCCAATTACAATTTTGCTTTCTACCATAAATGTTTTTTCTGCTGTAGAAATTATATAGCATATAAATCAAATTTTATGCCTAAATGCACTTATATTTCATCCAAGAAAATCCATGATGATGCATACAAATCGCAGGTCAACACCTATTAATCGCTTGCCTGATTATCCCGAGTTATCTCGGGTTCGTATATATTGCAGTTAATTATTATCCCGAGAAAAATCGGGTGAAGCAGAATTTGTTCGTACGATTTCTTTTATCACGGTTTTACTCGGTCTGGAGGAAATGAAAGGAAATATTCAGCTTTGATTGGCAGTTTGGAAAATTTTGTTGGTTGTGCGGTTCTTTTGGAGGGACTGGTTGCGTGTTTCTCTAATGTATAGTATACGTTGGCTTGTGGATTAGTAATGTGTAAAGAAGGATGCATGCGTTGGAAAAAAATAAAATAATGGCGATGATGGAAGATAGCGAAAGCGATGATTTTTCAGATAGTGATTATGAAAAGGTGGGGGGAAAAAATCCAACGAGACAGGGTATTCTTTGCTCCCGTGACAGAGATTCCAGCAGTAAGCCAGTAAGAAAAGAGACCAGATACCAGTGTATAACGTCAGGTATCACTCTGTGGTGTCCCTTGTTTCAAAAACTATCATACAAAGATTAATATTTTAACTTTTTTTTGTTTGCCCGAGATAACTCGGGATAGTAAACTAAAATTAAAAATAAATTCTTTTACATCTTCAAAAAATTAAAAATTCAACATAAAACCTACAAATGTTGATTTGTTTCGTTTTGTTGTATTTAATAATAAAATAAAAAAAATGTGATGATTTTTTGCAAATTCTTTCAAAAAAATTTGTAAGGGAAGCGGTTAATATAATTTGAAGACATTATTACTGTGCTAACTAAAAAAAAAAAAAAAAAAAAAAAACTAATTTCCAGCTAATATTATTTTATGGGTGGAAGTAAACCTACTAATTTTTAACATAAAATTATATACGCTATACACTATCTTCTGCAAACAATTTCTGGTTAAGATGATTAGCATTTAGAGAAGTTATTTATGACAGTCAAGGCTGTATGCTTCCACAAAAGCCTTTCTGCTTGTATTTACATGTGAATGACATGAAAAATATACCTAAGCAATTTCATTACTGTGGTTTATCTCTCTAGCTACTGGTGAGAGTGGTTTAGTTTTAATTATCGGTATCAGTAAACATCACACGATCATTTAATAAAATTCCTTAACCCAGCACTACTTGCGCCGGGCCTGCGCGACAACGTTTATAGATTTATATTTTATGCAGGTCATTAAACACCATATGAAGCATTTACTTAGAAGATAATTTAAGACATTTAGTCATTTAGTTTGCATTTCAGTATTAAGGGATTAGGTCTACAAAGATTTGACAAACTCATCGAGCCTCAGAAGCCCGGTCCAAGTAATGTCAGGTTAACTCACAAAATAACTAATTAAATTACCACAGTTAAACAATTTCATTACAGTATTGCAAACTTAAATACCATTTATTATTCACTTTCAATATTTTAGGAAAGGGGACTTTCAATATTAATCAAATGTGAGAATTAATAAAAAATTATTACACATGTACCTAAAGGAAAAAATAGAATGGTTTTACAAGGAATTTAATGATTTACAAGAAAATTTAGATAATATTATTACAGCATTAATATATATTTATTTAAATAAAAAATAATTACAAAACTACACAATACCATGTCATTAAAATATCAGGAAAGTTAAAATCATATTTTAAATTATCAATCCATTTACCTGGACTAAGAGGCCTAGATGAGCTAGGAGAGGGATTATGAGGAACAGGACTGGATGCCGCCCTAGGACGAGTGTGTAAAGCACTACTCATTTCATTAAAATGCCTAAATAAAAAAATAATAATAATAAAAAAAACACTGATTAGTAACCCAGATTTAAATTATGAATTTTTTAAATTACATGCTCAAAGATTCCTGACTTTAAATTTTGTGATACTTCTGAACATGCATAAGAAATTTCTTAAATAAACTGTTGTTTATGTTTCGCAGAGCCCGTAATTATAATCAAAGATAATTTATTTCAAAGGAAAATATATTTTTATAAAAATATAGTATTTAGAATAAACACGTTTTTAAAAGCAAATTATGATTTGTCAAGACAGGCTTAAGTCTGTTTCTGTGTTTCTTAGTTTAGGGAGGGGGAATCTTGATCTTTTGCATTAAAAACAGTTCTCACTCATAATATTAAATACCAGTACCTTGCTGCAAATTGTCAAAAATCTTTAGATTTGAAAACCATAAAAATATTTGCATTTTGCTCATAATATTAATATTAAATATCAGTATTGGCCACACTTCATGCCAGTAACAGCCACACATTTGAATTCAGGAATGTTCAAAAGCCACATCTAGATCTTCTAAAAGCCGCAAGTTCATATTTACATCATTCTAAAAGTAGTGGAGGAGGTTTTAAATAGAAAGAAATAACTGATAAACCAGGACCTTGCTGTAAATTCTGATAACTCTTTAGGTTTATTTATCCACAAAATAAATTGGTATGTTGCATGATTCATCCCAGAGGACAGTGAAAGATAACGCAAGTCATTCGCACTAACCCAGAGGCAGAAAAATCTCATTTTCAAAACAAAGCCATAAAAATATTATCATTTTGCTCATAATATTTATATTAAATATCAGCATTTACCGCCTTTTCTCAGATAATTACTGGGTTTAATTATCTACAGAATAAATCACTATGGTGCATGATTCATTACAGAAGGCAGTAAAAATACAAGAGATGTCTTCTGTCATTAAAATCTCCACCAGAAAGTGATAAAAAGCTTTAACCCTTTGACGGTTATGGAAATGAGCAGTTTCCGTTTACTTAATTCGCGGAGCATTAGGAGTAAACAGTAGTTGAAAGTGGCAGCTGTTTCCCCGCCGTTCTTCCGAAAATGTCACCTTTCTCTAGCGATGCCGTAGATAGCTCGCATCGCGCGTTTAAAAAATTTCTTAAAGTATTTGTAGTACATAAATAACAGTTTTTATGTACTTTAAAATAATTATTAACCAGTAAATTATAAATGATTGTAACCAATTATATAAATATTAGTTAATTATAAATATAAGACAAATATTAAATTGAAAGGACTAAATAAATACAACTAATGTAAAACTTTATGAAGCACAGTATAAATACAGTAATTACCTAAAAATCTTTTTGTGTGTGATATACTTTAAAACATGGAATTGCACATAATGGGGCATTACAGTCTTTGCAATACGTACATATTTCATGGTGAATTCTTTTTCCATTAGCATCATTTTTGCTACAACATGCCACACATTGTCTAATAGGTTCTTTCTAATAGAGAATTTCAGAAATATTTGTCACGCAAGCTTTCACGCCTACATCACCAGTAAAACTAAATCGGCTAGGAGCGTGAGAACTTGAATCAATTATACACCACTGTCGAACACTCGAAAAATCTTCCTCATCACTTGAATCGTCTTCTGAGCTTGAAATACTGTGAACAAAGTCTTCATCAGATTCGAAACTTGATAAGCTTTCTGTATCACAATCATAATCATCATCATAACCTATCTAACTTTCGCTTTTGAACCATTTTACTGTACAAACACCCTAAAAAACCGCGCCAAAATACGTATAAAAATGAACAAGGTCCCCCCCCAAAACAATCCCACCTTTCATTATGCAAAGAAATTCATAATAAAGGGGGAAGGTTATTATGAAAAGATATTCATGGGACCCGTACTGCCATCTGTAGAGAGTAAAACTAACTAAATTTTCGCACGTAGCATTCCGTTTGTAACACATAATCAATGCAGAATAATAATGGCGAACGAAGTCAGCTCGTCAGCGTGTATTGGGGAAAAATTTCACAACGCGAGTAGTGCTCGTTACTAACCATTTCGGTCAAAATCTTGCTCCCGAGCGGAACTCGTTTGTGTGCACGATTCGATTGCGAGCTGAACTTGTTCATAACCATCAAAGGGTTAATATCATTTAACACATTAACAGAACTGATAGAAATCACAATCAGGTGTACGAAACAAATTTTTAAACCTTTGTACAAACATTTTTTTTTGCTCATATTATAAATCATCACTTTTCTGTAAATTCTCAGATATCATTGGGTTTAATTATCCACAGTATAATCAGTATGGTGCATGATTCATCACAGAAGGCAGTAAAAATATAACAAGTCATTTATATTAGTAACGAGACAGAATAATGAACAATCTCAAGACTCTAAACTCAAAAAAATAAAATGCATTAGAAGCATTTGATGCTGTTTATGCTCATCCACAGAGCTGAAAGATACAATCAGTAGCACAATCAGAACTTTTAAACCCTTATATAAAATTTTACTTTTCCTCAGAATACTAAAAATTTGTATACATATCAGCACCTTTCTGCAAATCTTCAGATATCACTAGGGTTCAGTTATCCATATAGAGTCAAAAGTCGTTAATTCGGACACCCATAATCCGGACCTCAAAGATAAAAACTTTCTGCGCATGTGCCAACGCAGAACATGCACAGAATCGCCGAAGTCCCGACGAGTCCGGATTAACGACTTTTGACTGTAATAAATCAGCATGGTGCATGATTCATTGTAGATGGCAGCACACATATAACAGAAATCGTTGGTACTAAACACGAGACAGAACAAAGAAAAATCTTAAAAAAATAAAACTTTAAAAATAATTATCCTTCACATTAAAAGACATAAAAATCTTTATGGCTTTAATGCATTCACAGGACTGATAGAAATCACAATAAGGGGTATGAAACAACCTTTTAAACCTTTGTACAAACAATTTTTTTTTGCTCAAATCATAAATCATCACTTTTCTGCCAATTCTCAGATATCATTGGGTTTAATTATCCACAGCATAATCAGTATGGTGCATGATTCATCACAGAAGGCAGTAAAAATATAACAAGTCATTTATACTAATAATGAGACAGAAAACTGAACAATCTCACGACTTTAAACAGAAAGCAATAAAATGCTTTAAAAGGATTTAATGCTACTTATTCTCATACACAGAGCTGAAAGATACAATCAGGAGCATAATCAGAACTTTTAAATTTTATATAAATTTTACTTTTCCTCACAATACTAAATATTGGTATATATATATATATATAACGACCTTTTTGACAATCTTCAGATATTATTAGGGTTCAGTTATATACAGCAGAAACCAGCATGGTGTATGATTAATTATAGGTGGCAGCACACATATAACACAGGTGCTTTGTATTAATTACCAGACAGTACACACACACACACACACACCACACACACACAAACACACAAAAAAAAAAAAAAAAAAAAAAAAAAAAAAAAAAAAAAAACTGAAATAATTATTTCTTGCATTGAAAAAAAAAAAAAAAAAAAAAAAAAAGAGGTCTCACTCATAATATTACAAACCAGGACCTTCCTGTAAATTCTCATAAAACTTTAGGTTTATTTATCAACAAAACAAATTGGTATGTTGCAAGATTCATCCCAGAGGACAGCGAAAGATAACGCAAGTCATTCGCACTAACCCAGAGGCAGAACAAACTCATTATTTTCAAAACAAAGCCATAAAAGTATTATCATTTTGCTCATAATATTTATATTAAATATCAGCATTTTCTGCCTTTTCTCAGATAATTACTCGGTTTAATTATCTACAGAATAAATCAGTATGGTGCATGATTCATCACAGAAGGCAGTAAAAATACAAGAGATGTCCTCTGTCATTAAAATCTCCACCAGAAAGTGATAAAAAGCTTTAATAACATTTAACACATTAACAGAACTGATAGAAATCACAATCAGGTGTATGAAACAACTTTTTAAACCTTTCTAAAAACAATTTTGTTTTGCTCATATTATAAATCATCACTTTTCTGGAAATTCTCAGATATCATTGGGTTTAATTATCCACAGTATAATCAGTATGGTGCATGATTCATCACAGAAGGCAGTAAAAATATAACAAGTCACAATCTCAAGATTCTAAACTCAAAACCATAAAATGCATTAGAAGCATTTGATGCTATTTATGCTTATCCACAGAGCTGAAAGATACAATCAGTAGCATAATCAGAACTTTTAAACCCTTATATAAAATTTTACTTTTCCTCAGAATACTAAATATTTGTATATACAGTACAAATCCGGACTCGTCGGAACTTAGCCGATTCCGGATTATAGATCATCAATTTAAATCTGGTAAGATGGTATGAAGATATTATACAATTAAAAATATGAAACCATAATTTATGAAATAAAGAGCAGTTATGATCTAAAGGGTATCAAATTTAAAAAAAAAAAAGGCTTAATATTTATTTTTTTTACTTTAGTAAACATTTCTTTCAATGTAAGTTGCTTAAGTTCGTTTTTTGTGCTAAACGCGCACGCGTAGAGGATACTACAAAAAAAAAAAAAAAAAAAAAACCTTTGTGGATTTGAGGTCATTATAGATCATTCCAGATTAGATACTTTGTACTGTATATCAGCACCTTTCTTCCAATCTTCAGATATTACTAGGGTTCAGTGGTCCACATAAGAAAGATTGGTGCATGATTCATTATTGGTGTCAGCATGCATAAAACAGAAGTGCTTTGTATTAATCACAAAACAGTACAAAAAAAAAAAAAAAAAAAAAATTCTGAAATAATTATTTCTTGCACTGAAAAAGGTTCTCACACATAATACTACAAACCAGGATCTTTGCTGTCAATTCTCATAAATCTTTATCCAAAAAATAAATTGGTATGGTGCATAATTCATACAAGAGGACAACGAAAAATAATGCAAGTCATTCGCACTAACCTAGTGTAGTGTGTAGTGTATTTA